GGCCCCAGCACAGCTGTGGTGGGAGCGGGGTGCGTCCCTCAGGGCCTGACTTCTCCCACTGCCCGGGGGCTTGGGGTTGAGGTCAGGGCCTGAGGACACAGACCCTGGGCAGAGCTTGGGAGTGTAGAGGACGCGTCCCCTGCTGGGTTCTAAGGTGTGGAGGCCAGACAAGGAGGGGGACCTCTGACATCTGGGTCTCCTTTCTGTGAGGGAGGAATGGGGTAGCTCTGTGGGTAGGGCCTAAGTGGCGCACTGACACAGATTTTAGAGGAGATGGACGTTTAATGGGGGAGCAGCTGAACTTCAGGTGTGGGTGGGGGAAGGTGGTATGGGCCCAGAGTCTGATCTGGAGTGGAGGTTCGTTTTTCAGACAAGAGAAGGTGGCATTGGAGACCTTGGAGGAGGCCACAGGCCTGAGGGGACCACTCTGAAGTCAGTGCCTCCCCTAAGGGGTTATAGATGGAGGGAGGAGGTGTCCCTGGGTCCAGGAGAGAGAGCTGAAGACAAAAAGCCTTCCCTGGTAGGTGGTAGTGGGTATAGAGAGGGGACTGGCTGAGTTTAACACCTGGAGAACAGCCCTGCCTTCTGGATCACAGGGCTTGGTCTAGCTCTCTAACCAGAGCCTGCATTGACATTGCCTTTCTCTGGCAAAAGGGTCATGGCAGAGAAATTCAGAAGCCCCCTTGATGCTCCCATTGGGGTTATGGTGTTTTTTGTGTTTGTTTGTTTTTTTAAAAGCTTTGCAGTGCTGTCCAATAGAACTTTCTGCGGTGATGGGCATGTGCCATCTATCCTCTGTTCAACACGGTGGCCATGAGCCACCTGTGGCCATTGAGCCCTGGAAATGTGGCTAGTGCAACTGAGCTGAATTTTGAATGTTATTTAACTTTAACCAATTTCATCTTAAAGAGCCACGTGCAGCTCGCAGCTGTAGCGTTACACACTGTTGGACAGCACAGCTTTCAGGAGTATGAAGTACTTTCCCATCCATGATCTCTACTGAGTTTCACAACAGCTCTTTGAGGCAGGAATTATCAGACCTACTTTAAGGATGAGACAACTGAGGCACCAGTTGGGGAATCTCAATGAGATGAGACGTGCCCAAGGTCACGCAGCTGGGATGTGGCTGAGCTGGAGTCAAACTGGATCCCACTGACTCCCAGCCCTTCTTACTGCTACCAAGTGGTGGATCACAGAGGCTCTCAGCGAATGGTAGGAGCAGCCCACATGGTGGGAGCTCTTTCCAGAACCTTCCCCAGGCCTGCCCACTCCAAATTTGGTCTCCTCCCAAAGGTGGGGGTTTTGTATGGAAAATCTGAGCAAACCTCTGCTTGGTTGTTTTGGAGCAGAGTGAAGGTAGAAGGGGCACAGCCAGAAGGCGGGGGGTTGGAGGAGCAATGCCTTCTATTTCTTACTTTCAAAGCAATTTTGAGAGTTTTCTTTTTGTTCCCCTTTCTTTTGGCATCGTGCTAACTCCGTGGAGCTGAACTCCCAAAGCTGAAACTTTCCACATGCCCAATCCTCAGTGAGGAAGAGAGTGCCAGAGGGCTACGGAGGAGTCCAAATTATGAATGGCCAAGGCCTGGCGTGGGCGAGTGGGCACAGGGAGGCTGGTAACAGCATCCATCACCTTTTGGTTGTCCGAGGATGCGGGCTTTCCACAGAGAGGGGCCAGGGTGTGTCCTCGATGGCTAAACATGGATATTGCAGCATCATGCTTGATAACCGTTCACCAATAATCAATCAAGCATGGACATCGTGGCTTCCTGCTTCCCAACACTGCACTAATAATCAATCAATGAAGACTCACTCAAGCCACATTCCCCATCCTGGGGCCATTTTTCAAGTGTAAGGCACAGTCTCTGCTCTTGAGGAAAAATGGAAGTGATGAGGCTCTAAAAGTAAAACATAAAAACTTCTGGGCCCGCTGTGTTTGGGAGTTTTCCCCTCTTAAAATCCCCACAGCGCCGCATGGAACTGTCTCTCCCGGGCCTCGGCGTTCCCTTACGTGCTTTCAGCAGCGGCCGCTGCCGTAGGCCATTCTGAGGTGGCTGATTTCCTTTCAGGTCCTTCAGTTTTGAAATAGGTGCTCACTTGACAGAGGAATGTTTTGCTTCAGTCTCCTTTAAACCAAAGGATACGTGACCACTATTGCCCCCTCCTTCCCAAAGTGTCCCTAACTTTTGGGTTTCAAGCACCAAATATCCAAAAACATCTTTGGCGCCGAAGTACAGTAGCCAGCTTTCCACTTGAGGGTGTTAGAAAAACAAACTACCACTTGCCATCCACCTTTAATTAAAAAAGAACATTTTAATTAAACAAGAAGAAGAAGAAATGATATAATTTTAAAATAAAAGACATTTTTAAATGGGGGAAAGGCATTACAAAGAGCTCAGGAAACTTTTTATTTCCCTTATTTTATGGCAGACCAGTAAAAACTGTCGTAAGAATGTACCCTTTCATAGGCACTCAGAGCCCCCATTAGGGGCCATTCTGGGGTGATTTGTGGGGAATGGAGAGAGAGGAGACGAGTTTATGCTCCGATCTCATAGTGCAGAGGCTCAGCTCAGGCCCAAACTAAAGTGTTTACTTTAGTGCGGAAGTCAGTTCTTGCTGAGACTTATGAAAACAACTCAAGAGCAGATGCAAATGAAGCCGGGAGCTCTGGCTCAGCACCTCTGAAAACCTGAAACTTGCTGGAAAACCTTTCTTAGAAGATCTGATCCAGAAAGGTTATCTTCCCAAGGAGGTTTTTCCACCAACAGACCGGCTGGCTTGGAACCCTTTTAGGATTTTTATTTACCACAATGTTATGTACATATTAAATGCCATGTTTATAGTCCATCCCTGCCCCCCTCCTCCCAACTACCCATTTTCCATGAGCTGTTCGTTGTACCAGGCGAAGCATGCCAACCCCGCTCTGCCTGAGGACCTGACTCCCTGCGTGGCACGGGGCTTCCGTCGTTATGAGAACCCACCCCAGGGCAGAGCTTCCTCCATGCAGGACCATTCTTGTTGTCTTTGCATCCCCAGCACCCACTATGACCGAAAGGGTGCTTGCTAACTGTTTGCAGAAAGTATTGGCAAGTAAGGCAGAGCCAGAAGTAAGCGAGTCACCGTGAGTCAGGAATTTGGGGCCTTGGGTTTTAGAGAATGGAAGATGTTAAAGTCAGGAACGGGCTGTCCTCAGAGCCCAGGAAGGGAAGGGGAGGAAGCTAGGTTGGTTTTGAAAGGCCAACTTAAAAGCAGGGACCACCCACTCAAAGGAGGAAGCAACACCTAGACTGGAGGGGAGTCTGCGCGACCTCCTCTCACCCACACCAGGCTTTGAGTCTTAGTCAGCAGAGAGAGGTGGCTTTGAGGGACTAGGAGTGATACAGCGTTTGTGGTCCACATAAAACCACTCAGGCCTTCCCTTTCTGCTCCCTCCCTAAACCAGGCAGAGACTGGCCTGGACATACCTCCTTCTGCAGTGGTTGCTGGCCCTGGCTTGGCTGTGGGGCTGGTCTCCAGGGAGCGGGGGCAGGTAGCGACAGGGACCTGGCAGATAGTTAGGTTGGGGCTGCAAAATCTGCCTCTGCTTCCCTCCCACTCTGTCTCCAGACCCCAGCCTCCCTGGGCCACGAACAATTCCTAGAACATTCCATGTTCCTTGCAGCCTCCAGAGCTTTGCGCTTGCCTATCCCTCTGCCTGAAAGAGTCTGTTCATATTTTTGTCCGTCCACCTCTTTTGCACCAGTCATACCTCATTCTTCAGAGCAGCTTTCTCTGACCCCACCCTCTAAAGCTCCTGATTGGACACAGACCACTACGTCACCCGGGATACTGCCTGAAACAACATTATTAAGGTGTTGCAACTTACATTATGCTACTGTTTTTCTTGTTTCTTTTTGGTTGTCCTCACTCCACTGCAAGCTCCATGTGGGCAAAGACTTGGTCTGCAGTGCCTAGCACACAGTAGGGGCTCAGCAAATATTTGTTGAATGAATGAGTGACAGACGGAGGAGACACTGGGTTTAGAGGATCCAGCATGAGCCTGACTGTGCTCTCCCGGGTTCCCACCTGTTCCCAGGGGAGGTCCTGGGAGAGATGAGCAGGGCCCAGCCCTCCAGTGGGTGTTTGTATATGACTCTACCTTGGTTACTGGTCACTGGAGGTGACTCTGGTGTTGCAAGGTGATGAAGGGCAGTGAAGAGAAGTCATGGCCCCTGTGGCCAGTGGCTGCTGCAGTGATGGCTTGGAGGAAGGGGTCCAGGTCAGCCCCACTTTATCCATCCCCAGGCTGGACCCAGGGCCTAGGAGATAGACTCCTCCCAGCTCCCAGGCAGGAGTACTGCCACTTGCTCAGCAGGGTGGGAGCTTCAGAACAGATGATTTCAAGAGGAAGAAGAGGAGGGACTGTCACACTGAAGACTCTCAGTAACCCCCAGCCTCCTTAGCCCATCCTCAGGCGATTCATGAGAAATTGACATCCATCGAGGTCAAGATCACATGACTCATAGAAGAGCAAGAACTCAAACGCCCAACTTTCAGGCCAGTGTTGAGCCCTTTCCCATGAAACAGACTCATCATTCATTCATTCATTCATTCAGTATTAATTGAGAGTCTACCCTGAGACAGTCTCTATTCCGAGTTCTTGAACTACCAGAGGGAACAAAACAAAACAACTGAACTCTGCCTTCATGGTAAAGAGACAGACAACAAAAAGTGGGCTCTTGAGTGCAGAGCACAATGCCAGGAGATTCTGCTGGAAGTGGCGGTGTGAGCGCCTCCACAGCTCTGGTCATTCCCTTTTTGGTTGTCCAGAGATGACAGGCAAACCTCCCCCGGAGGCCTGTGGGTGGCTGGGAGAGATAAATGGGGCCAGGGAGCTTTGGGAGGCCAGCAGATGGCTTCCTGTCTGAGTGGAGGAGGCCAAGCAGCAAAAGGCAAGGGGCCCTTCTGACAAGTGGGTGTCAGGCCCCTTGCCCCTGCCCTCACCCCTCTCCCTGTCTCCCTAGCTGTGTGCCAGCCGCCGTGCCAGAACAGGGGCTCCTGCAGCCGGCCCCAGCTCTGTGTGTGTCGCTCTGGCTTCCGCGGAGCCCGCTGTGAGGAGGTCATCCCTGAGGAGGAATTTGACCCCCAAAACTCGAGGCCAGCTCCCCGACGCTCAGCCGAGGGTTCGCACAACTTGCGCAGAAGCAGCGCAGCCAGAGAAAGCACAACGGCCAGAGCACGGCCACTGACACCACAGCTGCCACCAGCCAGGTAAGTCCCTTCCTCAGGGGGACGTGGGGCTTGGGGCTTCTTCCTTAGGACCATTTGGTGACAATCTCAGAGAAGGCCGAGCTGCCCTTCCTTCCCCTCTCACTGCCGCCACCAGTGGTGTGGAGAGCAGGAGAGCAGGGGTTGGGGTTGGGGTTGGCATAGGCTTTGCCAGGTTGAGGTGAAAAGGGGAGGGGGGAGGTAGAAAAACGCTGAGGAGAGCATGTCCCTGTGACCAGGCTCTCTTGTTTCCAATCCTGGCATTGCCACTTCCAAGATGGGTGGCCTCGGGCAAGTTACCTCTCTGATTCCTCCTCAGTGGGGTGGAGAAAATGATGATAACCATCATCATGGAGTTGCAGTAAGATTAGATTAGTCAACACAAGGAAAGGGCTTAGCACAGGGCCTGGCCCATAGTAAACTATAAATGTCTCGCCTTCTCCTCCCCCTTCTCTACCTGGGGTCTTTCTGACGCAGGTAGGACTCGCCCACCCAACACTAACCTTTCTCCTTGGAGGGGCCAAGCAGGAGCATGCAGGGGAAGGGAGTAAAAGAGAAAGTGGGCAAAGGGAGTGTTCACGGGCAGGGTTCCCTGGCTGCTTGCCAGCTAAACTGGCTAGACTTCTTCTAGCTCAGGCAGGAAATCTGAACTTTGTAAACTGGTCCATTTCTAGAGAGCTGTGTTTTCCTTTTGGTTTCTCAGGTTAATTTTTCCATTCGTTTTCTACTTAAAGTTCTTTGTGAAATGTTGCAACCTTGTCTTGCTGAACTAAGGGGAAAAAGGGGGTTGGCCCTTTGGAGGCCAGGAGATCCAGGGAGAGAAGGCTGATAGGGAGCTTGGATCCCCAGTGGAAAGCTCGGGAAAGAAAGGAAAGGAGCTTGAGATTGTCTAGCAACTCTGAAGAGGGACCGGGCTGACCAGGGTCTTGGTAAGGTGGGGTTCCAAGGCCTGACCATCCAAGCACGTGGTTTCCAAAGAGAGCCAGGAGAAGAAAGGGCTGAAGGATAAACTCAGATCCAAGCCTAGGGAGCTCCAAGGTCAAAACCAGAAGAGCCAAACCCTTAGGGCCAGGCCTAGGGATGCTGGGTAGAGAGAGGGGCAGAATTAGGTGGACAACACAGGGGCTGGTGGGCAGGTCCTGAGCCTTGTTCTGAGTAGTCCCAGCTGAGGGTCCCAGGTGGTAGGAAGGCACTTGAGGGAGCCCTAGTGGTACCAGCTCCAGGGCCAACCAGGGGCAGGGTGGGAGCAGAGTCCTTTCAGCTGAGCTTCTCCTGGCAAGCTTTCTTTCGGCTTGTGTGATTCATTCATTTCATGATGCACTGATCGTGTGTGTGTGTGTGTGTGTGTGTGTGTGTGTGTGTGTATGTGTGTGTGTGTATGCATGCAAGTGTTGGAGGGTGGTTGTTAGGCAGGTCATTCTCCACTCACACCCTTGAGTCAGAGCTGTGACATCCCCTGCCCCATCTTGCCAGACCACCCTGCTCCTTGCATTCTTCAAGGCCCATTCCTGCTTTCTCCAAGCCTGTCCTTCCCAATCACTTCTACCCAGCTGTCTGCCTTCCTGCAGCACACACTTGGCATGCATCTCTGTGGGTCTGTGCCCTGTGTCTGCAGTCAGACTGTGTGGCCTGTGTGACCTGGAGGCAGGGACTCCATCTCACACCCTGGATTTCCCTGAAGCTCCTCCCGGGGCCCTAGCTTGTAGAAAGCACTCGGGCTGCATTTGTACTCTATCACTCGGTCCAAACTGAAGACTTGGCATGGAACCCTCACCCTGTGCCTGGAACTGAGGGCCTGGCTCAGAGTGCAGGAGGAGGGGAGGCCCCTGCCTCCCTGTGTAGCATTTTTCACTCTGCCTTGGGGTGGTCTGTTTATTTGTTCACTGGATCAAGGAGCTCTTGAGAGCAAGACTCTGTGTCCTGCCCATTTATGAACAGGACACAGTACTGGTACCGTGGCGCTGGTACCTAATAAGGCAGGTGCTCAACCAACAGAAGTTGAATGAATAAATGAATGAGGCTTGATGCTGGGGAGAGAAGGAATCTGGGAAGAAAGGAGGATGAGCTAGGGAGCCCCTGATCTCCCAGCGAAGATTTCACATGTGCAAGCGGTTCTGGGGAGGGGTGGGGTGTGGCGAAGGCCCAGGGTGAGGTCCGTGGCCCACAGCAGGGCCACCCTCTTTGAGCTTCACAAGCTCCCTGACCAGAGGCTACTGTGATGTTTTTAATGATCTGCAGCCTCCAGGCCAGCAGTCTCTCTCTGCTCTGGGGCCTCAGTGCCATGAAATCTGGGAAAGTCCGAGTGGCCCGCTGTCGGCCCAGCTGTGTTTTGCTTTGGGAGGCCAAATCCTGCTTGCCTTGTGGTGTCAGACATTTCCTGTGAGCATAGCCAGGTTTCCCAAGCAGCCGCTTGCCTCTCTCCTGGTGGCAACTTGGACAGGCCCTCGGTGTCCAGCTAGAGGGAGTGACATGACTCAGGGGCATTCTAGGAGCAAGAAAGGGGTACAAATGTCCAAGAGGGGGAGACACTGCAAGGGTTGGTGACAGCCAGAGGCCCTCTTTAAGAGGGACTTAGATGGAGGCCAAAAGACTTGTGGCCCAGAAAGAAGATGAGAAGGAGGGGCCAGGAGAGTCGGAGGCAGAAGGCAGCACGCCCTATGAGAGCCGGACATGGCTAGATGTTGTCCAGCTGTGGCCTGAGCTGACTGCTCCTGAGCTCTGGGTCCAGGCTTGTTCCCCGAGTCTGGGCAGAGGGCCTTCCCACCTGGGGAGCAAGAGCCGGGCAGCTGAGGAAGGGCCTTAAGAGATTGGGGGAGGGCATGTTTACAACAACCTGAAACCTGCAGACCTGGGAAAACAGTGCTTCTGAGCTCTGCAAAGGGAAGTGAGTCGCCTGGGAACTTGTTAACATGCAGCTTCTGATTCAGCAGGTCTAGGTGAGTGTCAGGCCTCAGGTGATGCTGCTGCTGCTGGTCCATATACCTCACCTGGAGTAGTGAGCGTCCTAGCCTGGCAATCCTGGGTTCCAGTCCTGGGATTTTCTTACTACTCATCATTTACGTGATATTAGACAAGCATCCTGGCCACTCTGAGTCATTAGTCTCTGCCTGATAGGATTGCAGAGAGGATTATGTGAGGTCATATGGGTAGAGTACGTCATATGGTGCCTGATTTGAGTTCGTGTTCAATACCCGTTAACCATCAGCTGGCTGGTTCTCTTTGCCTTGGGGACTTGAGTGGATAGAAGACTGTGGCAAAGAGCAGATAGAGAGCCAGGGTGCATACATATGGCCTTGCATGTGTGTGCAGACCTACTAGCAGATGCAGCAGTAGCACCAGTGATGGCTTTGTGCCAGCTTGGTTGTTCCATAAGGACCAGTCTCATTGTCTTTATGGCAGATGGGATCAAAGTGAGGTTTAATGACTTTTCTCAGAATGGGAAGGACTTCCATTGGGTTTGCTCCTTAGCCTGACCTAAATCAACCAGGACTTAGAGGTTGACCCTTGGGGACATCTCAGCCAGTTTAGTCAGTACTTGGGCGACATGGGCCTGGAAGACAGTGCTGAGAAAAGCAAATGGGATGGTGGGGAGGTGTCTGGAACATTGTGGACCCCGTGGTGGTGGCTCTCAGTGGGCTGTTTCTTCAGAAGCCAGCTCTTCTCTTTATATTCCCCCTAGATTAATTTTCTGTGGCTGATACAGCAATTTGCCACAGTTCTCTGGTTCAAATATTTGTTACTGGTCTGACCAGGCTAAAGTTAAGGTGTCACAGAGACTGTAGGGGAGAATCTGATTCCTGTTTATTCAGGTTGTTAGCAGAATTCAGTTCCTTGCAGTTGTAGGACTGAGGTCCCTGTTCCTCTGTGGTAGCAACTACAAGCTGCCCACATTCCTTGACTTGTGGCCACCTTCCTACCTTCAAATCTAAGCAATGGCAGATGAACTCTATGTTTTGAATCCCTTCTGCTTCCTCTTTGGCTGAATCTCTTTCACAGGCTCTTGTTGACTCTACTTTAAGGGCCTATGTGATTACATTGGGCCCACCTGAAAAATCCAATTTAATTTCTCTATTTTAAGGTCAGCTGATTAGAAACCCAAATTCCATCTGCAATCTTAATTTCCTTTTGCCATTTCGTGCAACATGTCCAAAGATATAATGCCAGGGGACAAAGATCATGGGGGCCAGGCACACTCACCCACTGCAGCGCATTACAGCGCTGTCTGAAATGTGACAGCTCCATTGTCAAGGGCTTGCCACAAGGGGGACCCTCCATGATCTGATGTCAATTCTCACCTCTTTCTCTCCTCACTCATACTGTTGCTGCCACACAGCCGACTGGTTTTTCCCCAGATGTGTCACACATGCTTTCACCTCAGGGCCTTTGCACTTGCTGTGTCTCCATGGAATGCTGTTAGTGTCCTAGGTCTGTCATAACAAATTACCCTAGGCTGAGTGGCTTACAACACCAGAAACGTGTTCTCTCACAGTTCAGGAGGCCAGAAGTCCGAAATCAAGGTGTGGGTGGAAGCTCAGAGGGAGAATCTGTTCCATGCCTCTCTCCTAGCATCTGATCCTTGGAGTCCCTTAGCTTATAGCTGCATCACCCTAATCTCTGCTTCTGTTGTCACAGGGTCCTGTGTGTGTGTGTGTGTATGTGTGTGTGTGTGTGTGTGTGTGATGTCCTTATAAGGACACCAGTCATTGGATTTAGGATCTACCCTAATGCAGTATAACCACCTCTAAACCTAACTAATTACATCTGCTAAGACCCTATTTCCAAATAAGGTCACATTAACAGGTTGGGGGCTGGGACTTCAACATATCTTTTTGGCAGACACAATTCAACCTACGCCAAGCACTTCCCCCAACCAACACACATGGCTTGCTTCCTCCCCTCTGGTCTTTCCTTCTCAGTGACACCTGGAGCCTCTACCAGGGGGGCCTAGGCACCCCATCCCGACAGAATGACAAGGGATATTCCTAGGAGATTGATGACCCAGA